AATCCATGCAACTTCAAATCTAGAAATTTCAGTCAGAGACCTAAGTCCCCCACAGATTCATGGAGACTGAAGAATAGTGTCCCTAGCAGGCAAAGCAGTGGCGATACTGGTCACAGTGACATGAAGCTGAGCTGAGCCAGCTCCAGAGGCCTCCAGTTAATAGTTCTGAGGGCTCATTTCAGCAATAGAAAACCACTTTAGTTTGCCTTCCAACTTCCCCAGAACAGCCAGACAGATACAAGGCGGTGCCCTGAGCAGCTCTGTGGGGACTCAGGGAAGTCCTTCCAGTTCCTGGGCTGTGAAGGCCTCACAGTCCATCTCTCCCCATCTGCAAGGGGCAGAGAGTGGAGATTAATATGTTTTATTTACTTCAAAGTTGAATTTTCTCCTCTTAGATTAATGCTGTGCAAAAAGTGCTTTGGTAATTTAACTAATCCAGTACTATAATTTACTTTCTGGTTTATTAATAATTATGAAAAATACATCTGAACAAATTTCTTACATTGTAAACTTTTTTTTAATGTGTTCATCTGGCCAATAAGGAAAAAGAAGACTCCATTTGTTATGAAGAGTTAACGTGTGTTTTTCCTAGACATATGCTCAAAATTGCATTTCTGTAACAATGTTGTTGTGTCTTAAAAGTACAGATACGTTTCTGTTTCATAAGAGAGAATTAGTCATGTCCATACCTGGGCATCGTTGGCGTAGAATCTCTGCTTCCTGGAATATCGGTTTGCCTTGAAAAGTTAAATTTTAAGTGTTATCAAGGACTTAGCTGGCTGAGTATCTCCATTTACTCAGCCACAGGATATTGTGTACCATGTAGCAGTATGTGCAGAGCTCTCAATCTGTTTGTGTTTTCAAGAAAGGAAAAGGGCTGCTGGAGTCCAGTTGGGACCTTTCCCACCCTCAACCCCTGCCAGGATTTGCAGTCTGGAGCTCAGTGGGATAGCCCAGGAAGTCACCCTTCCACCCAGACTGTCTCGTCCATTCTGGCCCAGGTCAGACCTTCTAATCCACCTTGCCCCATGGCTTCCTGCTGCCTCATTCTGAGTGAATTTGTGTAGATAAAAAAAAATCTGCCTGGATCTGAGTAGCATTTTGATCATGATACTAATCTAAGGTTCTTAATAGTTCCAACACCTCAAGCATCAGTGAAGTTTTAGGCTTTGTCTACAAGATCAGATCAGTGTCACTGTTATCACTGGCGTAATCAGCTGAGTCAGACATTACACATCAATCAAACAACTGTTTGAACTTGAGCGTTGGGTGGATTTTTGGTTTGCTTTCTTCTTTGTCTGGTTCTGTTGACTAAAGCAGCTGGAGCAGTTCAACAGGTGTGGTAGGTGCAGATAAGCTCCAGGGACTCTTCCTCCTCCTTGGTGTTAACTAAAAGACTTTGCATCAACAGTAGTGCAGTTAGCTGTTAAGGAAGCTGAATTCACCCTTGGAAAGAATAGACAATAAGAGAAAAAACACAAAATGAGGAGAGGCATCCAAATATTCCCTGCCGTAGCAGGGGATGCAAATGAGAAAACAGGATATGCAATTTATTTGAAGGCATACAACCATGTGGAAAGAATAGACAATAAGAGAAAAAACACAAAATGAGGAGAGGCATCCAAATATTCCCTGACGTAGCAGGGGATGCAAATGAGAAAACAGTATATGCAATTTATTTGAAGGCATACAACCATGTGTGTGTGTGTGTGTGTGTGTGTAAAATGCACTTTTTTCCTGGTCTTCAAAGTCAGTGTCATCATTTTAATACGTAATAGTCCATGTTAGCCAGGTGAAATAGAAAGATAAAATAATTCCCCATCCAGAATCGGTGACTCTTTTCTCAGGCCTCTGCAGCACTCTTCTGTTCTGCCTGAGTCGTGGACTTGACACAGTGTGTTCTCTCGTAGCACATATTTCTACCTTTACTTGTCTCGGCCCCCTTGGGGGCAGGAAGCATCTTGCTCTTGCTGATGCCAGGGAGTAAGTACCTCACTCTGTGCCGGTGCACAGTGAAAGCTCGGGCAGGGATGCTAGCAGGCTGGCTCATGGTCAGGTGCACACGCTCTGGAGCCAAACAACCAGCTCTGAGCCCCAGCTCTGCCCACCCCAGGGTGTCATCTTGAGCAAGTTGTGTTAGCCTCGCTAACCCTCAGTTTTTCCCAAGGGTAAAGTACCTGCTCCCCAGAGTTTTCATGAGATCATCCCAGTGCATGGCAAGAATTCAAAATATGTAGGATGTTATTAGTGAGTAACAATAATAACCTAGACGGAATGTTCATCAATGCTGGTAAAACATACATGAAGTATTCAGGCAAAGGGAAACCTACTCATTCAGACAGGTGCTTAGCAAAGGTCGGAGCATTAGGAGGTGGGTGCTGGGGAAAAACCACATTACTTGTCCTTTATCATCAAAAAGGCTTTGAAGAATTGAGAGTTCAGGAGCTGTTGATTGAAGGGAGAATCCAGTGAGTTTTCCTGGGAGGATGTTATAGGCTATAGGAGAATTGCAGAAAATTGCTTTGTGTCTCAGTCTCTGGCCTGTCCCTCTTAAGTTCTCTCCTCCTCAAAGCCCTTCCCAGAACACACATCCCTGCTGAAAATGGAAAGTGATGAACACTGACGAGCTAGTGCAGAGCCTGTCAGGCAACCTGCTTCCACCTGGCCTTCCCCAACAGGCATCACCAAATGTGATGTGCCCTGCCAGCGTGCCTGGTTAGGCCATCTTGCCCTGAGAGCTGAGCGTTCACTGTGCGACTGCGCGGCTGAGTGTCAGTAATGCTGGATAGCGCTACGACTGCAACAATCATAATTAGTGCCCATGTCAATGCTGAAGTCAAATAAAGACCCACAAGCAAATGGCCCCTAATATCTGAGTTAATTCCAGTGAAAAGAAATGATGACTCTGAATTTGGTGTCAACTTTCACAACAAGTTTATATCTGGAAACATTGGATGCATTGAACCACGTGAGTTTAGAAAGTATGTTCACAGAAACTATGAACTATAATCATTAGAAGATAAACATCAATCAAAAACTTTAAAATAAATTTGGAAATAGTAACTATTCAATACAACTGACATAGATCAGCCACGAAAATAAGATCCGGCCCAAATGTCCAAGTCCTTAAGTGGCAAAGCATAGAATGTGAGATTGGGACCACTGGTCCATTGTCCCCTTTTCACAGATAGAAAAACTAAAACCCTGGGAAATCAAATGGCTACACATATGTGTGGGTGTGCACATGCTCAGGCACATGAACACACACAAATCCTCCCTTTGTGAAAGGAGTGTGTGCCACTTTTCCACGCCCACGTTTGATTTTCAGACTTTGGCTATTTCACATGGCCTCAAAACTCAGCGTGCTTTGCTCCGAGATTAACTGAACCATTCGAACTAAAGGCTTAACTTGCTCCTAATCTTCTCTTTGAAATGCTGACTGGAGAATATTTAGTGCCCTCCCCAACAGGCCACAGGCACAGAAAGAAGCAAGGAGCCAGCACACACACTTCTTTAGCAACAGAAAAGGCCTGGGTCAGAGATCCCAGCACCAGATTTTCTCAGAGACACGTTGAGACAGCATACCAAAGAGCAGAGATAAAAGCAGGGCCAGAGATGGAGTGGAGTTCCAGGGAGAGGCTTGAGATATTATCAGGAGAGAGTATAGCGGCCAGGGCGGAGACTGCACTGAAGGAAGCAGTTCTCTTGGGTGATTGAAAGTGGGTGGAATTCTCTGTGAGAAAGAACCAGAGAGATGGCACCTTTTACACACCTGTGGTTGTTGTAACTCATCACTGTGTGAGGTTGTGATAAACCATTCCTACCCCTCCAGGCTAAAAAGCAGCTGGGACTCACAATCTATTGGTATTGCCTGGTGTAATTAGGGTAATATCTGCAGTTGTAACATGACCCTTCTGCCCTAAGAAGACAGAGGCAAAATGACTTTCTCAGGTCTGCGTACAAAGTTCTTTACCTCTCTTGGGGTATTCAGAGGCAGCTGGTAGGTACTTATGGTTCACGTCTATACAATCCACTCCAAACTCCTCCCCATTATAAAAATAAAATTTTCTCCATCTTCCCCCACAACTCCCTAAAATACACACACCCTCTCTCACTTAATTACCATTGCCCCCCCTGGGTTTTTTCTCTTGTGGCTGCTCTTTATGGTTATTGGAACCTGATTACCAAATGATAAAAAAAGTTTGTGATGGGAGGGAAGAAAAGGGCACAGGGCGATTTTTCCTAGGATCAGCCTCAGTCATGGGTTCTGCAGACAGGGGCAACATTTTTCTCGGCTCCTTTAAATGTGATATGGAAATGACCACATAGGAAGGACACAAAAGTAGGAACTATTCCACTAAGCCAGGCCCAGACAAGCAGGCAGTGGTGCCACCAAATCTGTTCCCAGAGGCAGGTTCTGAGGTTGGCAGCAGGCAACCTAGGTTTAGTTTGGGGAAGTGACTGGCCAGGGAGCAGTCAGGTCAGTGGTGGAGATGTCCTGCATCCCACAGGAGGGAGCTTGTCTGCAGAGGCTCCCTACTGGGCACTCGAGTAAGGAGAAACCATCATATTAATAGACCAGTGGAAAAATAAGTGACTCCATGACAAGTTCCATCTTGAGCCTGGACATTTGAATCATGATGATAAATAGGACATGAATTTATAAGTGAGAAAAGGGCTGTGGAATGGCTTGGTAGATAAGTGGGGAGGTGATGATGGATTAAATGAACTCATCAGCTCAATTATGCCATAAGCAAGAAATAGGACAGAAAGGGCCTTCCTAACTCAGTTTCCAGTTTATTAATTGTAATAATAACCCATATTTATTAATATGTAACAGAAAATGCTAAGGAGCATTTATTTCATGTTGTCAGGGAAAATAAGCCATTTTCAGGGATAGCTTATCATTTTTGTTTTGTTTTTGTTTTTGTTTTCTGTTCTAGGTAGGAAAGCAGTCTCGATATGGAAAAATATTAGGGACAAAATGAGTTGGAAACAAAGCAAAAGAAAGAGTCCTTTATTATTAACCAAGGCCAGGTTATGGCCTGACTTTCTTTTGGAAATTCCCCTTATTTTGAAGCCAGGAATTTCAGAGAGGGTCAGCTTCACAAGGCAGGGAACACTGGGGGAAAAAAAAAAAGAGACAAATTTACACAGTGGTTTTTGTTGAGCTTTCATGGCACATGTGCATGGTTTACTGCCATCATTGAAAAGAAACAACATAGCATGGTGGTTATGGAGGGGCACCCTGGAGCTCCTCTGCCTGTGTTCAAATCCCGGCTCAGCCACTTCACAGCTGTGTGACTTTGGGCAACTCATTAACCTCTCTGGACTTCAGTTAACCCATCCATAAAATATAAAGTTCTACCTACTTCTCACAAAGTTATCATAAAAATTAAATAAATTAATACCTAGAGGATGCTAGAATAGTGTTTTCTGGCCATTTTCACTGGTAGCAAATAATAAAAATAGATTGGTACTGAGAGTCACCGACTGTTTCCAAATGATCATTTGCTTTTTCACTGGCGTCATGACATCAGCTAAGAAGAAATAAAAGAGGAGACAAAGCCATTTTGCAGATTTGCTGGCTTCTCGGAAAGATCATGGCATCACCATAACCATGACAACCTGTCATAACCGTGTCAGGGCTATGTCTCGGTTATCATCTGTTTACTTCAGTGGAGCAATAAGGCAGACACATTCCTGCTTGCATGATGCTTAGACTAGACCAGAAGAGACTGATGTCATAAGTAACCTCAATACAGAGTGATGAATGTGAGAAGAGGATCAGTGTGGGGTTCTGGCCCCTGACCAGGGGGAAGGCTGTGTCTTGTAGCCCCACGTGCCCAGCACCAGTCAGACAAATAGTAAATGCTAAATAAATGTTCAGAATGAATGACTACAGCACCTATTGTGCTGTATTGCATGTCTCATGTTGTCCTTTATCTCGTAATCTTCAGAACAAGAATACGTCTTCATTTTGTGTCACCAGGATCTAACATTATGCCTAGCACAGAGAGAATCGAAAAATGTTTGTTGAATTGATCAGAATGACAGATAAAACCTGATGTGTCTCTCCCCTACTCAGCCATAGAGGGCTTTCTTTCTTTAACCCAGAGAAGTGAAAAACTTGACAAAATTGGTAGTGAGTTATTTTTAACAGTCAGGTCTTTTAGTACCCAATAAAATTACTTATATAAGTGGTTTTCTGCTCACTCTTAGCTGCCATGACCTCTTTCTTATTAGGCCTCTCTTCCTCCAGTATTACAGTCCCATCCTGTCCTCCCCCATCTCTATGGACATCCCTCCCTTATTTCCCTGCGTAATCTTCCTCCTCCAGCAACGTAACACAGACTTCCCAGCCTCAGTGCTCAGCCCAGAGGTACTTACTGTTTCTCTCGGCCCACTACTTTACCAACCTGCTTCCCCCAGTAGCAGACCCACCCCAGGAGTGGACAGGTGACCCAGGC